CATTACCCATTTAAGCCGTCTCCAGCCATTATTAGTCTCAAAGTGGGTTCCTCGTCATCGAATTACTAACTGTTAGTTTTTGTTCATTTAGCAACTCTAAAGTTTGATTAACTAACTGCTTAACTGGTGTTCATTTGGTGACTGTCAAGCTTGATTTACTAACTGTTTAGTTTTTGTTCATTTAGCAACTCTAAAGTTTGATTAACTAACTGTTTATCTGGTGTTCATTTAGTAACCCTAAAGTTTGATTAACTAACTGCTTAGCTGGTATTCATTTGGTAACCCTAAAGTTTGATTAACTAACTGTTTAGCTGGTGTTCATTTGGTAACCCTAAAGTTTGAATAACTAACTGTTTATCTGGTGTTCATTTAGTTACCCTAAAGTTTGATTAACTAACTGCTTAGCTAGTATTCATTTGGTAACCCTAAAGTTTGATTAACTAACTGTTTAGCTGGTGTTCATTTGGTGACTGTAAAGCTTGATTTACTAACTGTTTAGTTGGTGTTCATTTAGTGATATAACTGTTTAATTTGCTGATTGGTCAGCTGGTGTATATTTCGTCACTCAAGTGTTTGATTTACTAGCTGTTACGCTGGCGTATATTGGGAGACTCAAAACTTTGATTTACTAAATTTTCAGCTGGTGTTTATTTATTGATCAAACGTATGATTTACTAACTGTTTATCTATTGAATATTTCGCGATTCAAAAGTTTGATTTAGATTAACAAAAAAAGGCCCTTAAAAGGGTTTCAAGAATAATTCAAAATCAAAAAAGAAAAAATGTCGCTAAATCTGTCGAACTTCAATAATATATAATGTTCTTTTCTCAGGTTAAAGAGCACCAAGAGAAAGAGCTAAAAGTTAAAAACTACTTGCCGCCATTTGTAAGTATTTTTTTTTATACATTGTGTTTAACGGTTGTAGCTGTCGCGTGAAATTATTTCTCAAACATCAAGCTAGATTTTATTTGAAATAGAGAATATTAAAAGTCTGGTTGTTTGTTATATGTTATAATTTCAAGGGTTAAAAGAAAGAAAATCAAGCATATAAAATTATTATAGTCATCTCAGCTACTGCTGTTGCGCGCGTGTGTGTGTGTGTTTGACTCTTTCCAACGCAGCAGTCGTGCGTGTACGTCATTTATACGTGAAGCAAATTTCTAGAAAGATAGCATATACGTGACTTGTACTACCAGCACGAGAGGAATAAGAAATGCAATGTGTCGATGTTAATTGATTACAGAACACCAGAAAAAAATGTACTCATATATATATATATATATCAACGAAATTCGTTTTAACAAAAGCTTTTTGCTATTCTCATCCCAACAATGTAACAACGTGAAAAAAACCAGTAATGTAACTAATACAAAGATATGTTGTATTTGTAATAATTTTTCTCCTTAACTCAATTAAATTTATCCGCTTATTCATAGTTTGGTTGATTGGTTCAGATATTCGTGCAAAGCTATATACAAACTCCGTATGCGCTAACCGTCCATAATTTTAACTAGATGGAAAGCACATAGTCAACACCGCTAACTCTTCAGTTACTTTAATGAAGAGTGCAGGTTTCTGCAGCAACGAGACGTAAACCATGAATCCTCTAGGATACGTCCGGCCATTAAAATATGAAGAAAATGTTTGTAGATCTATTATTTAATAAAAACCCTTAAAACATAACTAGTCTGAGTGTTTCTATGACGTCATAGAATTAAAAGTTCCCCTGTAACTGACAAGTTAGTACCTTTGTTTTAGACATCAGATCCAGAAATTTTCATAAAAGAAAGCCAGAACGCAATAAACTCTGGGTGGTCACAGGAACAGGACAGTGGAGTGGATATTCATGGACAATCTGAGTGGTCACAGGAACAGGACAGTGGAGTGGACATTCATGGACAACGGTCATCTCAAGATGAAAGTAATAAGGTTTATATTCGGTTATTAAAGATAAGCAAAGTTGGATTTAAAACAAAGACTTAGTATCGATTACTTCTTTGGTACAAAATATTTATCTATGAAGCTCAGCCAATCAAAAAACGTACAGGTCAGAACACCAAAACATACGTACTTCCATAAACATACCATAATGTCAGGACATAGAAACGTCCATAAACAGATCATAATGTCAAAACATACAAACTTCCATAAACAGACCATAATGTCAAAACCTAGAAACTTCCATAAACAGCCATAATGTCAAACCATACAAACTTCCGTAAACAGACCATAATGTCAAAACATAGAAACGTCCATAAATAGCCATAATGTCAAACCATACAAACTTCCATAAACAGCCATAATGTCAAACCATACAAACTTCCATAAACAGACCATAATGTCAAACCATACAAACTTCCATAAACAGACCATAATGTCAAAACATAGAAACTTCCATAAACAGCCATAATGTCAAACCATACAAACTTCCATAAACAGACCATAATGTCAAACCATACAAACTTCCATAAACAGACCATAATGTCAAACCATACAAACTTCCATAAACAGACCATAATGTCAAACCATACAAACTTCTGTACACAGACCTGAACGTCAGGACTTGCATACTTCCACAAACAGGCCATAACGTCAAAACCTAGAAACGTCCGTACATAGGCTAGAACAATAAAACATACAAACTTCCATAAACAGACCTGTATTAGTCCTTCAACACTTTCTTACTTTAATCACCCTTGAAATATTAAGGACAGAACTTCGATTATTTCCTGTATTAGTCCATCAACACTTTCTTACTTTAATCACCCTTGAAATATTAAGGATGGAACTTCGATTATTTCCTGTATTAGTCCTTCAACACTATCTTACTTTAATCACCCTTGAAATATTAAAGACAGAACTTCCATTATGTCCTGTATTAGTCCTTCAACACTTTCTTACTTTAATCACCCTTGAAATATTAAAGACAGAACTTCGATTATTTCCTGTATTAGTCCTTCAACACTATCTTACTTTAATCACCCTTGAAATATTAAGGACAGAACTTTGATTATTTCCTGTATTAGTCCTTCAACACTTTCTTACTTTAATCACCCTTGAAATATTAAGGATGGAACTTCGATGCAGTTGTACTTCAATATTTGTACCAATATATTTCGCTAGCAGTACATACGTATCTCTTTGTTGAATGTAACAATTATGATACGTTGTTTTGAAATATGTCTAACCATGGTATAGTAACTCGTACAACTAACTGCATGTTGCCTAGCGCTTTTGTTGACAGCAGTTGCTAGGGTGATCAAACAGCGGTAGAAATTTGCTGTTTGGTATTATTTATTGGTTTCGTTGGCGAACTATTACATTCAATTTCAATTTTGGAGATGATATTTTATAAATAAGTCTGTTATCAACAATCACGCATTATGGCAGGTGTAAGAAGATATAGGTATCATAGTTTGGAAAAGTTTAATTTACGATTACTGATTACACATTATGGAAACTAAAGAAATCTCATAAAGTGTTATTTATTCACACTTAATTTTTTAAATGGTAGACATTTTTTATTTAAAAAAACTATTTCGTTACCTGTCGAAACATTAAGTTTTTGTTTTGTTAATACAGTTCGTCTTTTCCGACAGCTTCTCCATCTGACAGCAGCCCTTACAACTTCAGTAGAGGTCTACAGTCTCTAATAACAAACAATTTAAAATCATCGGAAGGAGAGAGCAGAGTAACTACTCAGGTTTCAAGGGATGATAGAGTTTCCAGGCTAAACCACGAGATCACCGAAACAAGTGAATTTAAAATCTTCAGCCGGAGATCAAAACAATCAAATCGGTTATACGAGAATCAGTATTTTTCAACGTCAACAACTAGTTCAGCCGACTCGGTTTCACTTTCCGTGGAAGCTAATAACGAGTAGTATTTAATATTGGTTTCTTTTTTATACATAGATATGATTTGTTCTATTGTTCTCAAACATTCCAGGCTTTATTTGTAGCTTGTGATGAGACTTACACCTTGCTTGTTGGCTTTTAAGCAATATGGTAACATTAGGGAAGGAAAGATTTCAGGTTGAACATATTTCATGTAACAAAGTAAAATTTAAGTATTATTTATAGTTAGCATTTTAAAGACTATTTTGTCTCTCATTGTTCAGCCCAACTCGTAGTCAAGGAAATGTCTCTTGGCCAGAGACTTGTGGGAGACAAAATATCATCGGAAATGCTATTTTTACATTCTTCTTATTTTGAGTGTAAAATGGACAGATTGAGAGGAACGTAGAAAAATAGATATCTATTTTAAATACTTGTTTACAAGGTAAAAGGACTTGTTTTTATCAAGTAACAGCCGTTGATTTTCAGACATCCACACTTAACAACAACAAAATCTATTAAACCCTTTCAGCTTGGGTGTAACGCGATATTTACCCAAGAGTCAATTTAGATCATAGAATTCCCCAAGTGGGTCAGCGGTTAGCTTCCATACATACAACTCTATAATAAAGGGTTCGATTCCCTGTAGTGGAAAGAATTATAGAAACCTATCTTATGTTAGAACTTTGAAATCAGATAAGATTAATAAGACTTGTTTAGGCTATCTATCCTTGTTTTTTTTTTTGTTGTTGTTGTTTTGTTTTTGGAATAACTCAGCTCATGGTAATAGGTAAAAGTGAAAAGCTAGAGATAAGATTATCGGAAATATCTTTAAAAATATGATAATACAAAAATGAGAATTCACTAGACTGGACAACAAAGGAGGTTTAAAATCTTTTAGCGAAAGAACTTTTACCGGTTATGGTAATGATTCTGTTATTTTACAACATCAGTTGGTGGGAAAACTTACAGCATTGCCCAATCTTTTCGCACTTGTCTTCAGAATCATCGTCTGTTTTAAAGCTCTAATGCATGTAGGTGGAAATACTGTCTAATTATTACATATGCAGCTTCATAGGCTGCCTGGGTATTGCATTAGCTGTTTCTTGGCCATGAATATAGGTTCTTGCTGAGAGTCAGTTTAGAAGCCTATCTGCTACAATATGAGCGTGATGCTACCATGGTCAAGGGTTGAGAGTTACCTCCATGGAAAAAAGCAGCATTGTTTCTTTGAGAAAAGAGGGACTTTCGACAAAGAAAATTTCTAGAAGAATTAAATTAAACCAGTCTACTGTAAACCGCTGGGTGCAGAGATGTAGAGAGACTGGCTGCGTGGAGCGGTGGAGGGAAGGGATAGAAAAAAAGCTTCCACAGCAACTGACGATTGTGTTCTGAAACGCATGAGCGTGTAGAACCATCGACTGTCGTCCACAGATCTAAAAAAGTATGGCAGGAAACTTCAGGGGTCACTGCACGCACTGTTCTGTTTCGTCTGTGTTCAGCCAGTCTTCGAGCAATACAGCCAAGAAAGGAACCCCTTCTCACCAACAAGATAAGGAAGATGAGGCTAAATTTGGCCAAGTAGCGTGCTGACTGGACTGAAGAAACGTGGAACAAAGTGGCATTCTCAGACGAATCAATGTTCAACCTGTACGGATCTGATGAGAAGCACTTTGTTGATGTGGAGAAGAGTTTCATCCAAACTGTTTCAATGCAACTGTGAAGCATCCGCAGGGTCAGGTGATATAGGGATGCTCCTCTGGTCAGGGTGTGGGATGTATGCATTTTGTAAAAGGCACTGTCAATGCTGCAAAGTGGATAAAGATCCTTGAATCCTGGTAAAAGCCAACAATTCGGGATCACTTCGATGGAGCTGAATAATGTACATTCCAGGATCACTCTGCTCCATGCCACAGGGCTAAAAAAATGTGTAATATTTTTGCACTCTATGAAACAGGCGTGAAATATAAAGAAAAACAACTTACTGGCCAGGCAACAACTTACATCTCATCTTGTCAAAAACTGCTGGAAGGTAATGGGTAATAAAGTGCAAGACTATCTTCGAAGAGAGAGGATCAAGCCATCATGCTGGCCAGGCAACAACTTACATCTCACCCTGTCAAAAACTGCTGGAAGGTAATGGGTAACAAAGTGCAAGACTATCTTCGAAGGGAGGGGATCAAGCCATTATGCTGGCCAGGCAACAACTTACATCTCACCCTGTCAAAAACTGCTGGAAGATAATGGGTAACAAAGTGCAAGACTATCTTCGAAGGGAGGGGATCAAGCCATCATGCTAGTCAGACAACAACTTACATCTCACCCTGTCAAAAACTGCTGGAAGGTAATGGGTAACAAAGTGCAAGAGAAGGAACCGAGAAACCTCTTGGAACAGCAAGAAGCCTTAATTCATGTGTGACATCATGAATTCACCCCTGCCTACATCTAATCCCTCGTGTACTTTATGCCACGGGGATGTCAAGCAGTTATGAAGGCCAGAGAAGGCACTTACAAACATCAAAAGAAGAAACAGATTCTGTGATCACTTTTTGTCAATTACATTAATGGCGTTATCTTCAAATCTTGGGTTTTTTACTCAAAGAACATTTTCGCATTTGCCAAATATTTGTTGATCATCTGCTGTATATATATATATAATATAATAATAATAATCCCTGTCGACTCTCCCCCCCCCCCCTGGAGCATAGGGCCCAAACAACACCTCGCTGACGGAAGTTGTTGTTGCAGTAATTTTTTAGCAGGTTGGTTTTTACGGGGCGGAGTTGCTAGCGCCGCGCCCAACCCTCCTCCTTTCTCATCCTGAACTTGGAACCATGCAATGGTGGTGGCATCCCTGTCGGGGAACGAACCTGGTACCACTGCGCTATAGGGACACATACATATATA